CTTCTTATTTCTTCACATTCTGCAGCCAGTCCGTGACGGCCCATGACTTTTGGGCACAGCCGTTTCGTTGCATGCTCATGAGGCTCAGACAGCTGGTTTCTGTCTGTGCTCGTTGCTGCGGTCGTCGCTTTGAATCTGTGTTACTGGGCGATGGGCATCTGTGTAAACAATTTGATTTGGCCCATTATGTTGTATATAAATGGGAAGCTTTCTGTGGATGAAGGAAGATGCTGCTGTTGTATTTGTGAATTCCTAATTACAATATCATTGTGGTGACTGTAGTAATTAAGTCGGCGCACAGTCGTTTAATCAGGAATCAGAGTTTCTGTATTTGGCAGGTGGATATCTTTATCAATTACTTGATTTGATCCCTCACAGATCAATATAGGTCGATAAATTATAGATCGGTAGAAAGCAGTCTGTGAGCACGAATCGATACTTTCGTCACAAGTATCAATTGTAAATTGTGCATTTTCATTTGACGATTTCTCAGTGACAATTACTCAGTCTCATGGAGAACTATCCGTCGAGATTCAATGTGATGAAGGAAGGCAAAAGTGAGATTGAGGTTGATGTCTGCAAAGTACAGGGATTCCAACTCTCGGCTAAATGACTGCCCTGACGTTACCACGACGGTGCAGTCCTGATGTGGAACGCAATTTGTCGAAATTCGTTTGACAGCGGTATCGCATTGTATACTAGCACAGAGTTTTCCACTGTTAGGAGACACAGGGGTGAAGTCGAGAAATTGATACGAATGGCCGTTGGTCAATGATCCGGATTCTGACTTCCGGCCGCAGAACTACTTGCTGACTGAGTATCACTTCGAACAGTCAGCACAATCGAATCGTAATGGGAATTCATAAGTTTGAAAACATCGTCGGACTTCATTCAGAGAGCTTCCCATTGTTATATAAATGATGGGCTAAATCAAATAGTTGATCCAGGAGACTTCCGTCCAGCAATGCTTATTCAAAATGGCGTCCGCAGCCCTGAGCGTTGACAGCAGCCACAGGCCTGCGCCAAAACATGCTGTTGCGGTTGACAAACCTCGCCAGACTCGTCCTCACAGGCTTTCTCGTCTGCTATGAGGACTCCCGACCCCCCCCCTTCTGCGGCGCGGCTGAAATGCTAGATTTTGTCGTCTGAGGAAATGAATCTGTGTTTCTGTGCGCTATCGTTCAAGATGCGGCTTCAGCTGTCGATTTTGAATTTCTCTCCTGCTTCTTGCTTCCAGGTTGTTGCTAACCGTTTAACGTTCATTCCGAGCTTAGGCCGGTTGCTTTGTCGGTAAGTCCTTTTTCACTTGAAAAAGAAACCGCAGCCAATTGAGATCGACCTTACACTGACCACGCCTATTGTATGTTGTCATTCTATTGGAGCACGCGCGGTACGTGTCGTTAAATGTTCTTGTTTCATTTAGTAGCTGCATGGCACGACATTGACCAGCAACACCTTCAAGCTTTGTTGCGTTCCGGCTTTGAAAGGACGGTTAGTGAACGTTTGAGCGTGGCGCGGTTGCGTTCTTGCGCACTAGTTACTGGTCATTTGCAGGTCTTTATTCCGTTGGCAACGGTCAGCTGCGGGCAGACGTACGTGAGTGACGTTCAGCAGTTTGCTCGTGTCGAAACCGGTGCGTTTCAGTCGACACTGACCGCCGACAATTGCACACGTAGCATAGCAGTCCCGACCAGCATATTAGGGCCCTTTGGTAAGTGAGTGTGCTTGGCGGCGGCGGCGGCTGAGTTGGCGGTTGCAACGCTGTCGGCTTTATTTGTGATTTTCATTCGCAGAAACCAGCGACGTGTGCTTCACCGGAGCATCGGTTCCGGTCACTGTCCTGACTTCAACGCCGGCCAGCTTCGCTTCTGCGATGTATGCTTCGGGCGGTTGTTCTTCTGTGCGTTTAGGCCTGACTCCAGCCGAACCATCGTCTTTGCCGTCAAGCCAGTCTGTCAGTAGTTTCTGGCCGGCTTATCCTTCTAGCTGGCTTCCCGGTTCATCGCACGATCTTTTGGCACCGTTCAGTGGTGGCCTTCTGTCAGCGACGTCGCCAGAAATAGTGTATTCGACCGGTTCACCAGTAACAGCCGGCCCATCGTTTTTGCCAACGATGTTCGACTACAGTCCAACATTGCCCAGTTTTCTCCCTACGGCACCAACTTTCAGGCAAAAATAGATTCTCTCTAATTTGTTTCAATTATTTATTATTTTCTAGTCCAACTTCTTCTCAGTATAGCTTTTCTTTTCCAAGCGTTTCATTGAGCGGACGAAGCTGCTCTTTAATTTGGCCAAAGTGTAGTGCATCGTCATCAGATTACTGGTTTGTAGCTTCGACATGTTCACCGTCTCCTCGGTACAGTCCGACGAGTTCGAGCAACAAGTATTAGCATATGATATTATTATAAACTTTTTCGCATGTAATTTTAGCTCAATGTCGGAGAGCCGTAGTGAAGACTCACCGGTTCTCCCTGAGGTAAGCCCTGCTTATTCGCCAAGCGCTTCAACTGATTCGCTATCCTCGCCGGAATATTCTCCTGATATTTTTGAATGCAGCCCGCCCAGCCCAACCGACTCATCTCTGAGTCTTCCGTGCAGTCCGTCAAGTTTGGACTACAGCCTTTCCATCGACTCGCCATCGAGTCCGATATATTCACCGTCATCGTCGCACGAATTCAGTCTTTGTGCATCACATCACGACTAAGTTCTTCGCTTCAATACAGTCCTTGTGGTCCTTCAAGGCCACAATACTCTTCGCAGAGTGCTTCTTCTCCTTACAGTTCTTCTTTACCCTCTTACTTTCGGGCAAACGTGTGGTACCCTCATAGAGCGACTTGTCCTCTAAGGTTCATGATTGATTATCCGTCAAGGCTGGAATCGAGTTCTTCATGTTCAAGTTCAGATTAAAATCCTGGTATTAACGCGACGAGTGAAAAAATCAGAATGGGATTGTGGGCTGTTTGAAATGAAAGTTATTGCTGCTTACGATTCGATGCTGTTGTTATGAAGCGAAAGGCAGAAAAACTGGATTTTGTTGACAATCCGAATAATCAACCTACAGCCAATTTCGTTTGGTCCGAAAAATCATCGTCAAAATACTAAAATGTCTGTATCCTTTCGCATAAAGGCTGTTTCGCTGAAGTGATTTTCAAGTACTTGGCTTGATTTGTCATTCGTGCCTCGAGTACTGGATGTTAAATGTTTTTTTTCATAATGGAGCAGTTTTGTTTCAGCTGTATCAGTAGGATTGTGTACTATATCGTTTCTTTATGCTTACTTACGGAAGCTAAATCACTTGCCAAATGTCGTATTGTCATTTTTGTTTATCATTCCTGAAACACGCAAATGTGTAGTCATGTAATGTAACCATGTGAGAATGTAAACGCAAATGTAAACGTGTCTACAGAGTTGTTACATGCGTCCCGTATATGTATCTGCATACTTAAGTACAACATTATGACGGTTTCATTTTCGAATCGCAAGCTTGATCCGTTCGGTGATGAACCACCTATGACGATTTGGCATGTGTCACGCAGGCGTCCTCAAGGCGAATAGAGGAAGCACTGATTAGCGAATATGTTTTTTGCAACCGTTGATATGCGTCGAGCCATAAACCGTGCTCTCAATCCATGCAACTGCTTTAGCAGTGTCTTGGCGACGAGGCTCATTCAGTCTGCGCATAGTTCGCATCCACTGTCACGAATGACATTTTTGCATCACTATATCGTTACTTTCTCCTTTAAGATATTTTCTTCAGCAACTTCCGCTTGCTGACAATGCCGGTGCAGTGTTGTCCTCGGTAGGCATCCTGTATCAAGTCTGTTTCCCAACTCTACTCCCACTGGAGCGTCAGCGAGGCAGTGATTTCCTCCTAGGTGCTTCCTTTAAACGTTGGCAATCATTAACCTGTGACTATGCATGTGGGCAATATATTCAGTATTTACAGATAACGTTTCCCTCCTGCTTTTATTATATGAAAGTATTGATCACGATGCATTTCCAAAAGGTATTTTACTTATTATCGTCCATATCACATTTTAACTTGAAGTTCGTTATTCTACAGTTAGTCATGTTCAAAGATTTAATGGCGTTCTTATTGTCATTAGTTAGATTTCAGATACGGAGTTAGATTTTTATACAGAAAACTAAAACCTGATATTATGGGTTTTCCTAGCATTCATAATTGATACCACCGCAAAGATACAAAAAGAGTTAAATTTTGGTTTCTTTTAGAGATTCTTTAGCTCGAATTTTCAGCTTCCGGTGTTTGCGCCATAACTGTTACTTGTTCAATATTTATGCGATTAGGGCAAATAACTCTAAATCAAGACCACTGCGCTTACTATAACAATAACACTAAGCTAAGTAGATCGCGAAGAAGTGAGGACTCGCATCTATATTTTGTGAGAAAGAAAATGGACGAGGTCGTGAAGCTGTTTCGTTTCTTTCGGAACAGATATGGCATCTACATATTTGTGAAATAACAATGGAACAAATCAGAATTAATACCAGGAACCGAGTTTTCAGTTTCGCTACAGATGCAGAAATGTAGATTAACCATTGGTGCTAAAAAATCCGCTCTTGAAGCGGAAATAATTCGTCCCTACTGCAAGGATTATTAATTCTATCAATTTCACTGCAGAACTGTATGACAAATTAGTGTTCTTCGAGTGAGTTATCCTTTGGAAATTTACTGATAAATTTATCTGCAACATTTATGCGAATATCAATGAATAAGTGCTTAACGCGTACTGACCATGAAGCTTCCTTTAGTGGGTCTAACCTGAGGATGCCATGAAAGCGGACTTTGGGAAATTTTCAAAACGATCGATTCATATTTGTCGAACTCTCAAGTATTTTCATAGCCAATTTAGCGACCTCTACAAAAAATCACTTCATCGTATAAAGAAAAA